TGTCTGTTCATGGCTTACACATTCGGGCGATTCCGAGTTGATCACTACCGTTTCACCTCTGTTCCCACCACCACTCATTTGAAACAGCTGATACAAGATAGAAACTGTTTCCGACAAGAAATGAATGGTCAAACGGTTGAGCAAGGTCATCATAATTTTGTACTATAGCATCACATGTACTCCTGTGGAGTGAAGTTAATGACGGACCATTTTTTTTTTATTTTTATTGAGGGGGTGGTTGGGCAATTACGTGAGGCATGAAATTTTTTTTCTTACCTTTAGGTTGTGCATGATTTTTTTAGCAGGCCATTGTTTTGCAAGATTTTTTTTTTAAGTCAAACAGGGAGCCTGTATAATAGAAAGCACATACTCGATTTTTTTTCGATTTTTAGCCGTTTTTGCTGTGCAGGAAATTGTTTTTTCGGAAATGCCCAACACAACTCCTCCCCTCCCCCTCAAAAAATGATGGTCCGTCCCTTATTTGACATTATCTTATCGTTCGAATACATGTCTGTCGCACTCAGCCACCCAGTATCAGCATCAGTATTAAGATTTATCAGAAGCATATCACCTAGGTGATATGCTTCTGATTGGAGTTAATCGCTTCTAGGTGATAGGCTTGTGGATTTATAGAATTGTGCAAGTGTTGAATAAAATGTTTTTTCGTCTTTCCCTCTTTCAGCGACTTATCCTGACAGAGTTTATCGTGTTGACGTAGCACAGGTAATAAATGTTTCACTCATACAGTCGGCTTCACCTTTGTTTACCGAATTACTGTAAACTGGAAACTAATCGATGGCACATTCTTGCAGGAAAAAATATACAATGTGGTGGACATTCTAGAGGATGGAATATTCATTGTCGACCTAAAGGATGACTCATTAAAGTAAGAAAATTTTGCTATAAAGAAGACACGATACCTTTGCGATTTATAGTGTACACAATATCCTTCAAGCCGAAGGGCACCTGAAAAAAATATTAGTTCAGTGAGGCAGATGATGTCAAACCAAAAAAGAACAGTAGCACCTAACAGTTTAAGTAATTCCGCCCTCAATAGGGCCTTACATATTCTGTATTTTATATTCCCCCTTTCTAAACAAATTTTCCTTATGTTTCTGAGGGAAACGATTCCTTGAATATCGCTGAATTGTCCTTGAAAAGTCCTGAGAAGATAGGTCACTCCTCTGTATGGGCCATGTACGCTAACCTTTTTTAAAGAAAGTTACGTTTAAATCAAGGTTTTGTTGTAGTTACGTTGCTGAACAATTACTACTAGGTAATAAGCAATTAGGAGTTCTGGAAGTAGAATCCTCAGCAGCCATTGGTTTGGATCGTCACGCAACACTTTGAGACGTTGCTTTGCGTGACGTCTTAGGCAACGTCTGCGAACTGAGGAGAAAGTTGGGAATTGAGATGCAACTTGAAAGCGGGAAATCAAGTAGAGCCAACGTCTAAGCCTAGTGTTACCAAGTATGCTGGTTTAATAAAAATAAACTTGATTTAGCCATTTTTCAGTGTGATAATTTGGTGTAATCTTTGTAGGAAACAAACGAATAACAAGAGCTCTACAGCTACGTCGTCGACTCGACTTAAAAGACCGCTGTCCGTTCCTGTAGATCCTATAACCAGGCCCTCGAATCTTGGCAGTCGGTCACCAGTCACTTTGCCACCACCCAGGATGTACAACAATTCACTTGGATCCAGTCCATCCGAGAGCGTGGAGGATATTGTGGAAAGCACTATCATGACACCGTTTTCCGCGTAAGTGAAGTGAACTACAAGTACGGTGCATTATGTGACTTATTTTAAATATTTTCCGGCCGCTTAAGCTGGGAGAAAAGAAGTTTATTTTCTATAGGAAAGAGAAATAATTCATGTGTAGTCTGACGCTCAGCCGTTGGCAAGTGGGTGCTAGATTTCCAGGTGTGGTGCGGATAAAAGTTTATCGAGTCAAGCAACTTTTAGCTACCCCTTGACACACTTTGTAATTCTCTCCATTCTCCGCCGACTGACGAATTTAGTGACATGCGTGTCCTTGTCACAGCACCACTTTCACTCAACGTTGTTAGATCGTTAAAGACGCTAAAGCTCAATTTTATTTTCTGTCGTTAATAGTAAAGAGTTCAAGTTGCCATCCCCAGATGGAGATGAAGCGGACGCCATTTGGTGAGTAAAACAAGCGTACATGCATGCGACAGAGGGCCCTCTAACTATTTGTTGGTCATTGATCTTTTAGCTTGGCCATGAATTGTTTTTAATAGAACCTTGTACCATGACTTGCTGAGGATCTGATAGAGAGAGAGGCCTGCTCTCTTCTCGCGGTATATCGCATTGTGTCCTTCTTGAATGATATGTAGTTGAACTTTTTTCTTGATTGTGTATATTAATAGAAATATTAATAAATAATGGCCACATCTGTTAAGATAATCGCTGGCTTGATTGATTCGCGTAGAGGAAGACATTTACAAGAATCTTATTGATCATTACAGGGTGAAGAACGAAATCATGAAGCGCAATGAACACAGTGAGTATAGCTCGTTATTTATATCCTTGTTTTAATTTTTTTTTTCCAATTTTTGATTTTAATTGTAGCTTCTTTATGAAGAGTACCACCTCTTATAATTGATTCTGACCTAACTGAATACACTTCCTTGTTTCTTTAAAGGCATGATCGAGGCTTCCAAAAGTGGAGAATTGGACAAAGTAAGAAGTAACCCAATTATTCCAGTGTATATACTATTGTGAGGTTTCCACTGATTTCGAGAAAAATTTGTTAGGATGCAACTTGCCTTGATACTGCGTGATATAACCCAGTTAGCTAACTTTTTGATCGTGTGTTTTCGAGCGTTTATTGATTGACCGTTGAGAGTAACTTTGTATTTGTTATGGTTTTGTAAATTTGTTCAAGACTTTTAACCAGTTGGAGAAACAAAGGAGCTACTCACGGTTTATGCATCTTGAAAAGTTTAGCCTAAATTTTTCAAGTTTATCTTTCGTAATACGTATTAATCTTCTCCACCCATACCCATCCTCGTTCCTTTATGGTTAACTATTATCTTTTCGGTGATTTTCTATCTTAGCAAACTACTATTTTCAGGTTTCCTTCAATCTAAAGGTAATTTTTGTACGTGGCCTAAATAACTCAAAATAGCGTGACTGAGTTCCTTTAAACTAACTAAGAACAAAACCAACCCCGGTCGTGACTTTTTGTACATCCGTTTACACGCGCTGGCCGCTGGTTGCGTGCTTTTACCTCATGGTCTGATTGGTTCTCTGCGCTATTTGCGTTTTTTTTTTTTCGGTTTGGTCGAATGTCAATGCTTTGGTTTAGCTCTTACAGCGTCTTCTACCTTGGTGTTGTTTAGGTAATCGCGTTACACCGTGGCGGCGCAAGTCTGTCAGCTGGTGATCACCGTGGCTGGAGACCGCTACATTACGCCGCGCGGCACGGTCATAAGGAAGTGGTCAGATACATTATCTCCAATGGTATGGCTCAATAGTGATGAACAGTTACCTTGTATGATATCATTCAATACACAGTCAAGTAAACAGGTCATGACAGTTCAGAGAATAATTACCAAAGTGGAAATGTCATTGATGTTCCAGTTGTCTTAGTGGCTGTGTTAAAAATATGTATAACGATCAGTGAGACGATTTGTACAAGACGCGCTCCAAAAGCGCTCTTAAACAGTAGAACGTAATTCACTCGTTTTGTTTGCATCGTTCAAGCGTTCGTGATACCTCCCAGCGGTTTATGTCCAACCGTAGTTCATGCCAGTTTGTGATTTCAACCGTGTGTTTTCCACAGTTCCACGATGTGTTTTGGATCTTGTCGAGGAAGAAAAGTAAGTAAAAATATGTTGATGTGTTATTTCTCAGTTTAGATGTGAAGTTTATATGAAATAATTCATATATGAACTGCGGTTGTAGATGAAAGTGAAGAATGATCATCGCAGTTAATTTTCCAATTTAAGCAATTGG